AAGTCATCCGTATCATAATGCACAACGGGAATGTTACGGGCCTTACAGAAAGCAGCACAGGAAGCCAAACGTGCCAATGACTTGCCACATTAACAAACACAGCCCACATACTCTAAAAAAAACAAAAGGGAAACTTGAAATAAGGCCAAAAAATATTTGCAAATTATAAATTTTAAGTCTGTCAAAAGGACCAGGCCATAAATATTTTATTTACAATTTCTACTTAGAATCTTTATTTTCAACAAATGATTTAGCACCAGCAAAGTAGCATTACTGTGTTCCCCAGGCAGAAGACCTCGAGGCCAAGTCTTGCTCATTAGTTAAAACAGTCCCCGTTTAAGAGAATCATCTACTCAAGTAACTAAAGTGAGCAGGATTTGGCACTCACTTATGCAAACCTAGACTGCTCAAACATAGTCCATTAGCACATTAATAATTACAGATATATTACAGCATCTTTTGAGATGTTTTCAGAAAGTGTGTTTTTAAGAATACTTAATATGCTTTACATGTGTGAAGTAAACAAAACTAGTAAAACAGGCTTCTCTGCAGACTTCTTTTAAAATTAAAGCATTAGTAATTTTATCACAGGTGACAGAACACTGGCGATGTACTTTGGAATGTATCAGTAAAACTTAAAGAACGTAAGCAGGGAATTATCCCTCTGTACTGTGATAAAGCATTTTTTAATCTCCCATGGTCATGTCTGAGGACTTAATTCACCCATTTTATCCACAACGATTGTTAAGTCTGCCCCCTCTCAGTATGCGTTAACAGGAAATGGAAAAATTAATACAACCAAAACAGTAACTGTATGTGTCAAGCGTGTTCCTCTCTCTGCGCTGTGACCTACAGGTCTTGGTCAAATACTTCTAACCTGACCCATAGGTTAGATTTTTGTTCACTTTTTAACCTAAGCAAAGCTCTATTACATATTACATGTTTTTTAAGCCTACATAATTCAAAAAAAGGGATGTAGAAAGCACTGTCACTAGGAAAACACTAATCTCGTTATGTGTGCAAATGGAGTCAGGATAAAAAGCTGACCACAACTAGCTCAACAGAACCACACTGATTTTTATCTCTGTTCTAAACTCAGCTAAACTGTTTCCTCAGGATTAGAGCCATCTAGTATCCAGAATGTGAATAGTGAAAGTGGTATTTAAAAATACGTTGAATGTAAATTTAGGCATTAATATAAGTTAATGACTGAATGCATAAGACACCATCTAATCTTTACGAAGCACAGATTTGCTCCAGATAAAAGACACTTTAATTAGTTCCAAATGTTAAAATCCCACTGTTACTCTGAAACATTCAGAAATGAGAAGTTATTGCAACTTATCTGGAAGTAGGTATTTCCTGAAGACCTATACTGGATAGAGACAAAGAGTTAGTATTACAACCCTTAAAGGCAATATAATCACCTTGCACCAACTCAAACACAAGTAGGAATCTCACAGTACTACTGCAGGAATAATTAATCTGTTATGAGAAGCCAGAACTGAACTTTTGTTCTTAATATACAGGCTGAGAGTAAGTGGGATAGCATGGTCTCATATTCTTTCCATGCTGTAACTTTCAAATTATGAATGGAGGTGTTGGTAGAATCACACAGGTGCTTGCAGAACACTAGAGAGAGAGGGAGGAAAAGATCTTCAAAAGGCAGGTCAGACACCTGAAGACCCTTTGAAAATCTGCACCAAACTGTAAGACAGCGAAAGTGTATCAAAGCTGCTTCTCTCTGAACTGTTAAATTTATTGAGGCTTTACTAAAAGAATGAAGAAGTGTTTATACTTAAACCTCTGGTAGCTTCAGTAAAGAACGTTGAGGATGTGTTCATTCCAGCTTGCTAAATATTCACAATGTACTGTAGAAGTTCCCTTCTCGTTCAAACTGCAGTTATCCTAGTAGAACTAGAAAGGTGAAAGTGGTTAAATTTAATAGCCATACCAACTTGGAATAGCTTCATCTAAAAATGAACTTCTTTGGCCAGAAAGAATCTGCTACAATAAAACTGTGCGTAATACTTAAAAAGACCAAGCTGGAGGGATGAGACCAAGAAATGGAAAAGCATTATCCCAAGGTAAGGGCTACAGGGATAGGAAGCCAGGAACTTGATGCAGTTTTCCTGGCATCTCTAGCTACACTGGATTGAAGAGATCATCTCCATGGCCAATAAAATTATCTGCCATTTCTCTGGTAAGCAACACTGGTTAGGAAACCTCCTGGATAAAGTCCCAGTACCAGCAAAATTGGCATTACATGAAAAAATTAAAAGGCACTCACATGGCTAATTGAGCTGAAAACGATTACACATTCAAAATGAGCTTTACATTTTACTTTAGAAGAAGTATCACACAACTTTCCTCTAGAGAAGTGGTTCCACTTGAGAAGACAACAGTAGCCCTGAGAAAACCCCAAATTTTCTCTACTGTAGTACATCACATTGAATCAATTCACTCTAAAGCCACTTCAACCAGTTAGCTTTGAGGAAAAGAAATGGCAAGGGTGAAAGTAAAAACTAAGAAGATCAGGAAAAAGCAAGTTACTTCAGTGATTTGTATAAAAGAAACAAGCCTTTTCAAGGCCTGTTTCGAAGATAATTTAGATAAAAAATTATTTCGAACGTAATTTAGACGAAAAGGCTTATCTTGCAACTATTTGTGATGCCTAGCATTTTTACTGGTGGTAGAGTCAATCTTTGGAGACTCTAGTAACAAGTTCTAAGTTGAGAGAAAATGAGATGAAACCCAAAGATGTGGCTTAAATACAGGACCCCTGGGCTTTACAGTAGGGCTTGAAAACTTCTCTGGTTGCTCTTGTAATGAAGTAACACTTGTGCTGATAAAACTACCATAAGGAAGCCAATTTTTTTAGAAGCTCACGGGAAGTAAAAGAGAGGTAGGGCATACTTTTTGATTCTCACAGTAGTTTCTATACAGTACAGCTATTCAAGAATTACTCCATTAATTTATTCTGTAACTCTGTACAATTTACTTTAAAAATGTATCTTGGGTCATGTCAACTTCAAATGGTTTAAATTAACCATGGTCATTAGGTAATCACCTTCTACATGTGCTTCTGGTTAAATATACAAGTAACTTCAACTACTGCTTCAAGAGCAGCTCTCTTTCATTATTACAAAATGAGAAGTGAAGCAGCAATAAATATGGTCTAAAGGAACTGTTTCTAATCAAGCTGTAGTATGTGTCTTAAAGAACTTCACTTTGCAAGAAAAATACGCAGTTGGTTTGCAAAATTTTCAGGAGGCTGTCAAAACATTCAGAAAATTAAGTTTTTACAAAGTTTTATAACCAAATAAAGGTTACTTTCTATAGTCAATCGTAACTTAAAAGGAACAGTATACAGCATTTATAAAGACATTCTATAAAACCCATATTCACTTATTTTCTGAAGTGCTCTGATTTAGCATTAGATCAGTTGAACTGTGAGTGTAATTTTTGTTTGTTTTAAGTCTAAAATGAAACATCAAAGCAAGCACAATGGAAATGTAGTATGAGTACCAGGAAAAGCAACAATAAATGGAACTGCATTTGTGATTGGCATTGGGTTTAATGAACTGGCTACTCTAAGTTACTGTACTCCTAAAGGACCACAGAATTTTTTTTTAAAAAAACATATGATGTTAGTATGGGGCTTTGAATTTTAAGAAAAGAAAGAGAAGACAGATAATAGCACATAGAGGTTTCTAACACTCTAACTAGGAGGATGTGTCTGTGAATACAATACAGCCGTGCTGTGGAATACTTGAGCAGTCAGTTTTAAAAATACCTTAAACCCCAAGATATGAATGTGTTCTGGTCTGGTTGCTCCTCATGCACTTATAGGAAATATTTAACATTAAAATGGTATCATAAAATTGGGTAGCTCTTTAGACCACAGAGAGTCATACAGCTAATGACTGTATAATATTCTTACAAGTTTAAGATTTCATGCCCTGGCTTCAGGACTAAACTTATTACAATAATCACAACTGTAAATTTTAAAAGTATACAGAAAACCCCAAAGATCAGTTCCGGAGTATGGATTTTATCCCAAGGCCACAATTTGATGAATGATTCCATATTGCAAGTGCACTAACTATTGGTCCGTTTGGTGCTGCAATACAAACTCTAATGCTGTCCTCAACTTTCAAAAACAAACCTCCAAATCCAAAAGCAAGCTAACAACCTTTCATTTTCAACATCTAATTAGATTCTGATCAACTCTTATAAAATTAAGGCGAAATCACATTTTCAAATTAGTAGGATGGGGCAGAAATTTTCCAAACCTTCACAGAAATAAGCCAAAGCATCAGAGTTACGAGGTCTATTTTATAAGGATTCTCTCAGGCTTTGTGGTACCTTTACAAATAATGATGCATGATGTCAGAATTTATAAGAGAGACCAAAAAAACCAGAAGGCATTTTGAAAGTCATGTCCTCAAAACAAAAAAACCCCAACCCCCAAAACCTGCCTTCATTAATCATTACATTCTTTTCCAAATCCAACCAAAGACAGAGGGGATCTTCCCAAAATACCAGCTGCATCTTCAAATAAATGAAGAGGGCAAGTGAGTATCTTCACAAAACCTTCAAAACATCAGCTGTTTAATCTGCTGCTTTGGCTGATTTCTTCTGTTTCTATTCTTCCCACTGAATATTAAAGCATTAATATTATTTCCATTACACATGAAAATAAAATAATTACTATTCTTACTGTGGGAAGCAATTGGCTACACTTCCCTCATGTTGTAGATAGTACCTTACTGTTTTTAAAGTTGTTTTCTGTAAGTACACATGGGAAATTGTGCTCACAATATAGTATAACTAACGAAAATAATTTTTAATTCATCAATTATATACAAAACTGATGCGCCTAAAGCCTCAGGAGTAAACTTGCAATATTTTCACGCTTAGCACTTAAAGGTTTGGTATTCCTTCTTCTGGAAGCTTGTTTTCAGAGGATGTATTGCATATTAAAAGTTCAATACTGGCTACATGTACCAAAGAACATAAACGATATCCCCAAACAGTTCACTTTTCAATGCCCAACAGAGTGAAAACCCCTTCCTTATAATGGCAATATTCAGTAGCTAATCACTTCTTAAAAACAGTTACAGAAAATCTGCTATTTTCTTCTCCCCTCCCCAGATTTAGTTCCCATTGCCATAAATAAGTGTCATTCAGGTGGAAAATAGTCCAGTGTAGTGACATCTGGCATCTCAACTGAAATTTGGCAGCCCAAGAAGAGCACCAACAGCTCCAAAGTATCCCTGTTCAAAACAAACAAAAAAATATTTCAGGTTCAAGTAGGTTATTAAATTCTGCACTAATCACATTTCAATGACAACAAAGCATCTGGTGGACCAATGCTACAGAAAGAACACCATACACTTTTAATATATAATCTTTCATAACAATTTTTTAAAGCTTTGTGAAACAAACTTTTTATCCTTCTTAACTAGCTTAACTTTAGGAGATTTCACCCCAAGCCTCCCCATACACTGCAGGACTTCTAAGACATGTATCAGTGACTTCTAAAGCACGGAAATCAGGTTTGGTAGAGGAGCTGTGTATTTTGGTTGCCAAAGGATCTTCAATATCCATAACAACACTATTCCTAAGGTACAAGTAAAAAATTTCTTAAACTAACTGCACCTCACATTTTTAAAGAATTATGTCCAAGCTTCAACACCATTTTTTGGACTGTATACTTACCTGCACACAAAGAACCACATTCTCCTGTTGGATTACTTTTCCCCTCTGGGGAAGCAAGATGTTCCCCCTCCCTATTAACTGTGAAACACAGAAGTGTTTGGAATCTACACTTGACCAAATGCAAGAATTTAAAATTTATCCACGAAAAATGCGAAGGGGGTAGAACTAACAAGGAACCATTCTGCTATTACTGCAGACACTAGCACCAAGACAGACTACTGTCAGTCTCAGGATAAGCAATAAAGGAAAAAAGTTGTGAGAATCAACTGAAGGGGAAGAGATGTAATGCTGTAATATTTGCAGACCAACAAATTGAGGACAAAAATTGCCAGCCCACTGCCAAGAAGCTACAAGTCTCCCAACTGCTGCACCTGTAATTAATATCGGTTGCCTATATTTTAACCAAAACAGGTCAACCCTCTCAGCTTTACATACTGATCTAGATTGCAGAAGCTGCCCAAAAGCAGGTTAGTCTCAGAGCATAAAATCACTACAACAATTTCAAGGCCTATCTGTGGTGGTATGAAAGCACTCCTTATTAAAAGCAGTCTCGAGTTTCAGGATATTGCTCAAGCTCAGTTGAGAACGATACAGGTATTTCAAAGGCCCATGCTTTAGATCTCTCTGTAATCTTTTGAAATGCAATACTTACTATTGTTTCCACCCAAAACCAAGCAAAGACTGTTGAACCTTAGTGCAGAGCTTAACATTTTCTTGTCCCTCTCCAAAGATCTATAGCATGAACTGAGATACCCCGAAGTGACTGAAGCACTTCCCTGGCAGAGAGTACTGTCCCCAGAGAACCACTACAGTATGACAAACATCCTCTTATTTCCAACGCTTACTGAGTACTTGGTGTCTCAGGATACCACACATATGAGAGCTACTCAATACATGCATTTTTGATCTATGGTAAAACAATACATGCAGATAAATGAACCACAGCATACCTCATGTTCTAGGAACAAGGCCTTCAGCTGGCCTTTTGACCAGTAATCCAGTGCATATGCAAGAAGTTTCATTGACAAAGTATTCACACGTAAAAAATTGCCAACAAACACAACTCTATTTATTTTCTAAAAAGAAGAGAAAAACAGCAAAGGATTAAGTCTTTTCACTGTTTAACACAGCTTTGAAAAATTAAGCTATGAAAGAAGACTGTCTCGAGCAAGAAAAAAAAAACAAAACCAAAACCCAAACAACCCACAATTAAAACATGGTTCCAAAATTTAAACCACAGCATACTCGAGGAAAAGGAAAAACCGTACAACCCTCAAGAATTAAAGGACTTAATTTACAGACAAGTAGCACTTGTGTTTCAAATTAAGTGAGCATTTTCAGTAATTAAGCCAAAGAAACAGCCCAGCTAAGAGAAATTAAATGAAAAATACTTGTATTTGGCAGAGAAGACTCAATGCCTTCATAGCCCTGTACAATGCTGCTTGATCCATATGCAACAAGGCAGCACTGTAAAGAAGCCGAAGACAGTAAGACATAACAGATGTTTCTTTCATCTTCAGACCTCAATACACCTCAGCATAACATTAGACTAAGACTTAAATACTAGAAGTGAGCTGTGAATTTTAATCAAGTCAAATGTAAAAAAGTGAAAATCGTTTCATTTTCCCCATTCACTGAAATAAATCCAACATTAAGTGGAAGCAACATTAAACACTGGTTTAATGATATGAGAGCAAGAACCAAGAAAATGTAATTGTGTTAGTGCTTAATATACTGCTTAAATAAGCGCTTAATTATGTTAGATGAATGCTCATATCCAAGTTATTACAAAATCTAGTATGACAATTCAACCTGTAGTCAAATAACTAACATGCAACTGTTTTTCACCATCTTGATTCATTCACAGTGAAGACAAAGTAAATGCACTGTTAAGGCATCCAAACATAATTCTGCTCTATAGCAGAAAGCTGAAATAATTACTTTAACTTTATACATCAGTTCAAGATATTAGTTTGTGCATCCCTATTAACTATTTCTTACGATTTGTAGTTCTGTGACATAGTTGGAATTAGACCAAAAAAACTTGGAATAAAGTTAATTTGTGCAGTTCTGATTTGTACTCATTTACCCCCACCCTTAAATATAAATTGCATACATTGCCTCAGACCCAGACTATTAGCATGTACTTTCAACCTCACTCTTATTTTAACTCTTCTGTTATCAAGCTCTGCCATAAAGCAAAAAACCCAAAATTAACTTAATACCCACAAAATTAACTTTCTTCTCTGAGACGGACATGAGAGAAAGACAGAGAAAGAAATTGAGGGAGAACGTGCAGTATTAAAACCAAAAAAATATATTAGTCTGGCTCCTAAGCAAAAGGAGGGTTACTGCAGCTAACAAGGTTATTGATATTTCTGAGACCATCACATCCACAGATTTTAAGCAGAGCTCTAAATACAGTTACCCTTAGTCTTCTCTAAGCAAGCTGTTACTAAACCTCACTTTATCCAAAGTTTCTTGATAATGAATGAGGAAATCCCTGGTGCTCAGACACCCATATCTTCTATGCCTAAATTCAGTATTCTTCCATAGGTTCTTGACTGTCCATGCTAACCATACTGAAACCGAACGCATACTGGTTCTGTTTAGCAGAGGTTTGAGAAATAGAAGATAGCAGGAAACTGTCTCTGTATCAACCAGTAAGAAAACAGGTGTCAAAACAATTTGAAGTCTCAAGAGTTAGTAAAAATTAAAAGTAATGCTTAACTAGAAGCAAGGATTTCTACGAGCTTTAATCAGAGAATAATTTCAGCTTGAAGAAACTGCTGGAGGCCATCAGGTCCTATGCGCTGCTCAAAGCAGGTCTTTCAGCAATTTCAACATTTAAGTTGCTCAAGTCACATATTTTGAAACTCTCCAAGGACACAGAGTCCACAGTCTCTCTCTGAGTCCATGTTTCAGGGCTTAACCATTCTTGTTGTGAGCATCTTTCTTCCCTTATACCACTCAGAATTCCCTTTGCTACAAGTTGCATCCATTGCTTCCCGTCCTTCTGCTGTGCAGGGCCGTACCTGGTAGCGTCTTCCCTCTCTAGCTAGTGACAACCATTCCAGGCTTCAGCTGCTTCTTCAGGCTTAACCCGGATCCCTCAGTGTCTGCTCATACGTTAGGTGCTCCAGGGCAGGGCCCTGTCTCAGTAACCTGTCTGTTAGACTTGTTCTAGTTTGTTAGTGCTTCTCTTTTGGTGATGGTGGTGGTAGGGGAGGAGGGGGAAAGAGGTCATGTCCATCGTTATCACCTCCTCTGACCTGGTGGCTATGCCCTTGCTAATACATTTCAGTACACGTACTGCTGATTCATGTTCAGTTCAACTTGACTGCCAGCATCCTCCTCTCTTCTGCAATGCTACTCCCTAGCCAGACTGTATCCGATCTTTTGCTTTTGCCGTGAGGATGCTATCCTGGAAGACCAATGAGCTATTCTGGGCTGCTTATGTCATTGGGACAACCTCCCACAAGATCTTGCTTCCTAAATCCCCCCAAACCAGAATCCTGTTCTACTCAAGTCCATCTAGAGTCTCCATTCTGCTACTTGCCTTCTTCACTTTCCTCAGGATCTTAAACTCTACTATTTCAAGGCTGTCACTGAAATCCCTGACCAATTCTTCACTCATGAACAGCAGGTCCAGCACCATGCTTGCCTAGTCAGCCTGCCTACCACTTGTGTCAGAAAATTGTCCCCAGCACACTCAGAAGTATGGATTGCTTGTGATCTGCCATGTTACCTTTCCAATAGAGGTTGAGATAGCCCCTCACGAGAACCAGGACTTACAGGTCCTCTTGCATCCCACGCCGCATGTGTTTGTGTACAGAGACTTAAGTTGGGCCCACAATCATCCTGTTTTCGCAAGCGGACTTCAAGTCCTTTCATCACAACATCCTGTGCTCCCCTGCTCCCTCACTTATCTGCAGGCTTCAAGCTCCATTCCCTAACAAAGCTAGTTGGAAGCCCTCTTCATCAGGTTACCTTCCCCATTGGCAAAGACATCCTTGTCCTACTTCTCCAAAGACAGTAAAAATATTTTGAACCAATTCCTTATTCTTTAATACTACATGAATTTCTTCGTTTCATTTGAGAATGTACTAAAAGGTTTAAAATGATACATCATTTTAGTGGTCATTTAATCTGAAACCAAATAATAGACTTATAGATAGGTCATTTCCTTGTCAGAAGTTTTTACCTCATTTACTGCACACATCCGGGCAATAGACCCAATGTTATTGGTAATGGTGACCAATATGGCTCTTGCAAGATCTTCTTTACTAACAGACTCTCTCTTCTCTTTGTAGATCATATTTCCAAAACTAGAACAAGAAAAATTTCCATTAAGTACAAAGTGATTCGTGTGCATTTGAAGTAATTTCAGAATGTAATTTTTATGCTATAACAGAACTTAAGTCTCATGTTTCTTCTTAAGAAGCTCCTTTTTTAAGTCTGTATTAAATACAGCAATTTGACAACTGACACTACAACATATGTATTTATTCCTTCACAGGAAACAGTCAATCTTGTTACAATAATGACCCCCAACAAAATACTTTTGTTTAGATTGTTGGCTTCCATGGAGAAGCATCTACAGCAAAAAGTAGTCTTATTCTTAGGCAAGAGTACTCTGCAAACCTAGTCACTGTAAATTAAGTCAATGCTTAAGTCTGACTGGTGAATCCTCCAACTCCTCATGCTTGCTTTCTCACTCACAATACCTATCCAGTCCTCTATTCTCAAAGTAGAAGTAAACCAGAGATGAGTTGAATGGTTTTATGATGGAACAATCCTCTGAAACAGAAAATAAACAGCTGACAGACTGCAATTTAGATGGTATAAATGAAGAGTGCTGGATTAGAAGGGCATTTCCACTACCATACACAGATCATTTCTTATGGATTATAAAAAAAGAAAAAACACAACAAGAATATGCATGATATTTTACCACTAAGGACTCTGTGCCATATCTAAGTCAGTTCGGAGAGCCAGAATCCTGATTATTCTAAAAGTCAAATAGTCATTAAAGATCCTAAGGGTCTTAAAAAGTAAATGAGAGCAAAAAGTACCTATATAAAGAGCGAGTTAAGATGTATTGACTAAAAGTGTAAAGTTTGCACATATTAAAACCTCTCAGCATATGCTTTCTCAAGAGGCTTGGCCTCAGCTGGCTGGAGAGGGAGAAGAATTAAGTTACCGTGAATTAAGACCTCTTACTACTGAATAAGAGCAAAGATTTAATGAACTCTTTTATGTACATGTTAGTTTCACTCCCAAAGTTTATTCTTCTTACATTTCTTAAGGGTAGAGAAGCTGTAACATCACCAATAATCTTCCCCAATGGAAATAAAACTTGCAGCTATGACAAAAATTCTCTGTCATTGGCAGTAAAATACATTTATTCTCATGATGCAAACTGTTTATGTTCAACAGCCTTCATAAGTGAGAAAAGTGGTTAAAACATTATACCAAGTGACTGTACTGACAACCGTACATCAAAAAAAGCAGTCTTTCAAAAAAAATGAAGAGATACTACTGTAAGAGCAACACAAATGCCGCCTTCCACTCACCTTCCCTCTGGACAACACCCCTATTAAAAGATTCTAGGAAGTCAAAAAGTAACTGGCTTTGTTTTTCCTCTGTACTTTGTTCTTGCCACTCCTGTGATCACCTCACGTTCTCTCTGACTCATGTAACGCTGTATATGACATACCACATGAGGTTTCTTTAACACCTGCACTGGCATGTAGCTTTAAATCTTCAGGAAAACTGAGTATAAATACTTTTAAAAAGTGTAACATAAAACATAACTTGACTACAATAAAAGTTTGCAAAAAGCAGTTTTCTCTGTATTAATAGTTTAAGTATTGTTTCTGAAGCCCCCCAAACCAGCAAAAGAACCAACAAAAAGATCTCTTGCTTACCTGGATGCTACAGCCCATCCTGGCAAGCCAAATCTTTCATAATCTCCTCCATAAATATCTCGAACCAGTTTGTCAGCGTGTGTGCTGTCTCCTTTGGATGCCATTTCCAGAGCTTCTTCAAAACTTTCACAGCCCGTCAACAAACTGCATAAACCAAGAAAGGTCCCTCCACCTAGACTAAGAAGAAAGAAAACAAGTTGCTTTTAAATAGTATTTCCTCACATCAAAGATTCTTATGTCTGACTAGCAAAATAAACAAAGCCCTTCAACTTAGATACCAAGCTGTCTGCTTTCTTGCTCAAGGTTCACTACACAAACAGCTGTCAATCAATTTAACATTTATCTAAGTCACTTACAAGAAGCTAACCATACAGTAAGAGCTAATAAATAGTTATAAACTCTCAAAATGTAAGCTGGAAGAGTTAATCAGAGACAAACTCCCTAAATACCCACATCATGCCACTGACTCTGATCCTTGATCATTTACTGTAAAACATGTGTGGACATATTTATTCTTACGGAGCAAGAGAAACACAGGGTCACTGGACAAATTATCAAAACTTAAGACAAAAACCTATAAAATCTCACTCCGGAGTACTTCTAGCACTCATTGATTGATAAATAAGATACTAGCTAAATCTTCTCAATAACAGAACTACGGGAATGGACTTCAATGAATACAGCTGTAAATTAAAGATAAAATACTTTTCCATACTACAGAGTGAGGGAAGGGATAGGTGAAGGGAGTCAGGGAGAGAAACCACTTTGAAAACAGAAGGCTCGTTGTTCCATAGAGTAACAACCCCAACTTAGGTTTTTAAGTTACCTTGTTCCAGTTACTCTTTTATAGTTGTCTTTGGAATGGACTGATAAAATACTGACTCCTGAACCAATGTTAACAACCAGCAATGGGTATGGATCATCCAGGTTAAAAGGCATCTTTTGGCATCTCTCAGGATCTGAGGCATTTTCAAAATAATAGCACTCTGCCTGGCCATTGAAGCTGACAGAGTCTATATACAATAAGCCTTTGACAAGGCAGTCAAGCTCATCCAGTTTGTGCAGCTGGAGGTTTCCAATCTGTGTTAAAAAGAAAAAAGACAGCGTCAACATGTTCTAACATTGCTTAACAACATGCTACAAATTTGGAAACTAGTACTAGAAGCTACCTCAGGCAACTAATTCAGGAACTTCAATCCCACTATAAAGCCAACAAAGAATTCAGGGGTAAATTCTGAATACATCAATTAGCAAATTACCTGACTATAAATCTAGATCTCAGACTTGAATCAAGAACACACAAGCAGTATAAATATCTGCTTTGGTAAGCCTAAAGATAACTTTTGAGATACTCAGACATTAATCCATTGAAAAATTAGCAAGATTTTTCATCAATCTACATCAAAAAAAGGTCACCAAATACCCTACAGTCCCCATTGAGTGTCATCTTGGTGAAACTCACATGTCTGCACATCTTTTCAAGGTCTATGGGTATCCTCCCCCATCTTAGAAGTCAAAAAGTCATTTCTAAGATGTCAGCAGATAAAAACCTAAGATAAAAACCTCAATGATATTGTACTAACTATCCTCGCAACTTTATTAACACTGCAAGGATCATAAGAAAACCACAGGTCAGAAATTCTACAGGACTTTAGGCTCGTTACAGTTCTTCCTCAGTTTTGCAGATGACATTTAAGCTGCCATTCTCTCATAAAGCAGAAAGACAATTTAACAGGTGCTGTGGATTCCAAGAAGGCTGTAATTTCACACCATACTTAATACAATTTAACTTGGGGCTTTCACAAAAAGAGTGATCATGCTCTCTCCCTCACCACAGCAGGGAGTTCCAACAGTTAGAGAATCCAATTAGGCAGCTAATCCAAGAAAAACCACTCAAAGTCTATCTCTGAATCAGCTCACATTTAGAAAGCAGCCTGCAGTTAGATTACAACGTTGCACAATCAGACAGGATTGCACACTGCTGACTGACATCAGTACCGGATCACAGCACTGCCAGTCCCCTCCTCTTCCCCCAGGTCCCTTCAGCTTTTCTTGCCATGGCACAACTGTGAAGTTTCACTGTGGAGCAGATCAGGGAACTGTTCCAACATAAAATATTTATGTGAGGTTTTAGATAATGAATTAGTTCTGCTGTACAAATTGTGACCCTACCCCACAAACAGTTGTACCAGCTCAACGGAAGGCTAGCACAGGAATGGAAGTGAAGCAGATTTTTGAAACCAAACACTTTGTGCTATTGAAAGTCGTCTTGTCTCTAGAAACAGAAGAGCTCTGCAGCCACCTTAGAACTAGGACATGTGCACACTGGATACTGTGATAAGATTTTCAGTTAGTAACAACTATCTTTGGATCGAAACTGCATCTAAACAAATTATCAATTTTGATCGTCAAGGGAAGAGTCAAAACACCTCAGGAAAATCCCAAACGGCTCTGCAGTTGAAAAAAGACCGTCTTTCAGACATGTGTTTTGTCACAGATCTCTAAACAATGCATTGGACTAAATTAATGAGGATAATCCCATGCACAAACATTGAAAACGTATCATCAAAGACTGCTTAGGAAAGAAAATCCAAACTGACTCAAGCACCTCAGCAGTTTAAACACATTCCCCCTCAGAGAAAACACAGATTAGAAAATTGTTAACTTCCACAAAGGTGTCCAGCATTCCACTGCATTAATGGAAGGTTCTAATTAGCTGTTAGCATTAGATCTTCATGTTTATTGTGATGATGTCAGAAAGCATATTTCTAGATTATCATACTTAAGACTGAAAAACAAATGCATAATTAATAATCTTTGAGCATTCCACAGTTTTTCAAAATACTGCTTATTTTAACCCATCATCAGCAATGCTTTTAGCATCAGCTTCAGTCCGAGGAAAAGACAGGCTACCTACTGTGCGAAAGTCTTCTTCAAACTTGTAAGCGCCACCGCCAGTGGCACAGAGCACCGTATGTAGTGTTGAAAAGTTTTTATTTCTTCCCATTTGGATAAAAGTAGGCAAATCATGAGTTGGGAATCGAATAAAGTGCAAGTTTCCTCTTCGCGCAAAAATCGTCAAGTCTTTCAGCTCAAGGTGGACATCTCGAATGCCAGTGGATCCATAGGCTACATTGGAAGTCAGATATTTGCGGATGCTCTTCAAGCTCTCAACTTCCTCCTGCTCCTCCTCTGCAGTGATATCAATAGGTTCAAAATACGCAAGTTTCACCAAAGTTCCCCCAATGTCCATGCCAAACCATGGAAAAGCTGTGAAGATACAAGAATTGATCGATTAGCTTTGTTAAAGAGCAAAAGCAATACACGTAACTTAAGCCTAAACCAACGCTATGCTTTTCAACAAGAAAGACATTAACAAAAATCCTCACAGGATTAGTACCCACTTCCATTGCATGATCTTAAATATTCCTCTGGCTGCAGGTAAAAATGGAAAAATCAGCAACTCTATTTACATGTTTAAATGCTGTCACATGTGCTTAGAAAGCCTAACTAAAAACTCCCCAAACCATATTATATCTTTCATACCAACTCATAAACAAAATTCAACTACTTTTTTTTTTTTTTGAGAACAAGGGATTAAAATAACCTTCCCTTCTAAAATAATAGTTTTGACATAGTTTAGCATAAAGATTGCAATGCACAGTTGTGAGAAAGTAGGTTACACATTATGGCTGACAGTGGCAGGACAGGTATTCCTCCTCTAATGTTATCTTTTGCTCACATAACGTATTTCATTTGAGAGGGAAGCATTAATTTATTTGCATGTATTGTTAAAAATTGACACAGTTAAGATGCCCAATTTATGGAGCTGAACAGAGTTGTTCATATATCCCTTGAAGTTACAAAGGCCTAACAAAAAGTACTATTAAGTACATGCAAGATAGAAAATTAGTATTACTGAATCTAGGTTCCAATTATTCCTTTTTTGTATCTTGGATAGGAGGGGGGAACTTCTGTACTACAAAACAACAATACTACAACACAAATATTTTATCTTTGTCACTTTTGTGGGATGATTACAATTCCTATCAGGGATTCTATGGTTTATGTCATCTAAGACCATGATTTGAATGTGCCCGTATCAACAAATCTTCCTAACCATGTGTGGTAAAACAGATACTCAGCAACCCTACAGCAGAGACATCATCTTCATCTGAGAGTTTCCCTCCCAGAAACAGCATTTAAAACTTAATTTGTAAATTTAAGAAAGATCCTGAACATCCAGCTGGTAAGCTGGTATTTTTATTTTCTAATTGACACTATCACTTGCTGGGTTGTTTTTTGGTTTTTGGGGGGGTTTGGTGGTTTTTTTTTGTTTAATATTCTGTAGAGTTCCAATTTATTTCTTCAGATGCAATTCATATATCATAGAAGCACTGAAACTCAGGAACAAAACCAAAACGATGTTAACATGTTCATCATGAGTAAGATGTAATTATGTTGGATTTACATTACCAGCAGGGATGTATCTTTGAGAAGAATGGCCTACCAAAATATTTGAATGTATTTAGTCAAGGCTGGCTGCATTTATAACATGAGTGCAAAAGTTAAAAAAGAAAAGAAACTTAAAAGTTGCCTCAACTTTCAGGAATGGATGTCCAGAGGATACTGTCAGGTATTAACAAAAAAGATTTGAGTCAGTAACCTTACTCATCTTGAAAAAAAAAATTTAAATACAAGGATAAATTCTGTGAGTAAAATCTAGCTCCAAGCGGGAATAAAGAAGTTCTATAAACCTGATATCTGTTCTATAAAGCCAAGATCTAAGCGTAAAACTAAGCATGAAGTCACATACGAATTGACTTTACAACTGCATACCCGACTTCTTTGCACTGTGACTCCAGACACAAGAAAATTTGTCATCTTGACCACAATTAGCTGATGATTTATTAAGCGATCTCACTAAGTTTCAGTCTTTCATTGTAAACAATGTCACAAGACCAAAACCGCCATGTTAAATGATCCAAAAGGCTTTTGCAAATATAGCATTAGTCACATCTCTAAAAATCTTAAGGTTTATGAATCTTGCATACTAAGTAAAGAACAAGAACAGTTAAACTGTAAGGAAGTTTATTCCATAATTCAAATGAGAACATTTTATGCTGAAAAATGGGATCATGCTGTACAATATCAGTTTTCTGGGTTAACTGAGTGATCTTAACAGCAATTTAAGGATTTTGAGACTGAAGAAATAGGTCAGTTTTCACCTCTGCGACAAACCCCAAGAAGTTTTACATTTTTCTATGGAAAATTTGTCAAGATTTGGCTTGTAAGTACATTGCTCAAGTTTCATTTGCAAGGTGGAGGAGTTCTGACAAGCAACTGGGCCCACGTACTGCTAACTTACTCCTTATACCAGCAACCCAGAAAAAGATATTACACAAGAATCCTTGTGTATGTAAGCCACTCTTGATTGATTTATATACAGGTCTAGCCAGGAAAATTAAAGCCATTTTGTTTTCCAAACACAGAAGGGGATACACAGACACGTATATGGCAAGTGCACAATCAGTTGAACTGTAGCTGCGATTTTGGGACTGCAAGGATACAAGATTCATCCATGCTTGAGCTACCTTTAAATATTAGAAATACACTGGTGCTACAGAGTTAGAACGTAATTGTACGTGGACACAACACGGAAACCTTATGAACTCTCCTTCTATTGCTGCAGCCTTCAAATCAGTTTGCTTTGGGTGGATCTTGGCTCAGGATCCACCCTATCTGGATGCAGGGGGAATGGAGAAAACAGGAACCCATGTGAAAACACCAGTTCCTCTTTCAATTACTGAAAAGGTGATTTCCTTTCCAGGGTTCAAATAAGGCCACAGAGAGATTCAGGATGAAGGTCTACTCAGAAAACATACTATGGAGAGCATGCTCGAGTTTCCTACAAGACTTCCCCTCCACAGGGCAGCCAGGCTAACTGTGGCAATGGCTGAAGAGGACACATCTACTTCAAGTCATGCCACACATACAAGGAACCTGTGCATTACTTTACACCACATATATGAGCACTCTGCTTAAAATGATCTTGCTACTCTTCGAGGCATGTTTGAAGCACAAGTTTTCACTTTTACATATTGTATCTGCAGCATATATACCAGCATCTGTAGCTGGATAGTCTCTCAAATCCATGAAAATTTTAATTCTGAGGCAGTCTTCTATTTGAAAGCTGTCTTGGAACAAGATAAAAATAGCATGGCGTGTACCTTGGGCTGAGGATACATAAATGATTCTGTAAGAAGTATTTTTACAGTCATATCTGTGGGTCATGCTTCTTTGAGCGAGAGATTTAGGAGCAGAATGACGGCAGCACAATCTTTTGAAAAAAAAATTCCCAGACATCAGCTTGATCCTTACGGCAGTCATAGTTAAAGAAATGTGCCTGGATGAGATGAATGCCAATTGCACAACCTTTGTTCCAAGCTTATAGCTCTGCAGATACCAGGTTTGAGGACTTGCGCAACTGTAACCATCATTCCGCAGCTTCAATTCATAAGGAGAGTCAATGCACCTGCACTAAAACTGGGCTCTTTCTGCAGCTCTGTGGCGATTTGGTCATTAAAAGATTTTTCTCAGCTTTTCCTCTTTATAACTGTTCTTATTCCTAGGAAGACTCTACAAAAAGTGATGTACAGCTCAGAAGTATTCCTTGCTGAGAATTTAACTGCTATTCACGGAACAAATCCAGTGCCCTGTCTTTTCAAAGTTCAGCTCCGCTCTGCAGAGGTGCGCTGCAATTTGAAAAAAGAAAAGCAGGAATCGAGCTTTTTATTCAACAAGCCCAACTTCCTTAAAACTGCTTCAAAAACATGCATTCTGCTTTTAGGAAGTCAAGCCATGCTCTATTTAAGAATACATAAAATACGTATTTTTACTATCTGAGAAGAGACAAACACGCAAAGTAGAACACAAACTAGGAAGTCAAAACCCATATGGTTTAATGTGATACTTCACACCAAACTAACTGTCTCCAACGGGACAGCAAGAGGAGTATCACAATATCCAACCTCCTTAATTCCAAATCCAGATTTTCTTTCACTCCCCAGCTCTGCCAAGAGCAACTGCGGTCCCTATGTAGACACGGTGACCACAGAGCAATAGATTGTTCCATACACGCCGTGAAGATAGCTTTGACCCCTCAAATCTCTCAGAGTGCCTCTAACCTGCTCAGAGTTAAAAAAAATAATGATGTTTAAGAGGATTCCCTAGAACTACTTCCTGCAGTGCAGAAAAGCACTTCCCGCATGGGAAGAGTGCAGTCACAAGGTGCTATGGTCAAGTAATGATGCAGCAGTTCTGCCTAGTAAGAAAACCCAAGCTGATGGCTGTTGGTTGTTTTTTAAATTATTCTTTAAAGCTACACAGGGAGGCCTCATTCTCTTGTGTTTGCACTCAAGTTCTTGGCGTACATAGTTTCTGGCAGCAATCTTAAGGTTACTTATATCTTATCATATCAGGTCTTTATATGCCAAAAGGAAATAATTACAGTAAAAAATCCTTCTCATGCCAATACAAGCACAAAGGTTGAAGTGTTTTCCTTTTCTATGGGTTCTGCTTCAGCAGAGCAGAGGACCTTCGAAGTTCCCCACACAGACCACATAGTAGTATTTTGACTTTGTACATCCGTTTTGGATCCAAAGCTGCAGGAAGTACACACTCAAAGACTTAACTGCTTCCCCCTTATTCAGTCACGCATAAGATTCTTCAGTTTAACGCTCTATTTGTATTTAGCTTTTAAAGACTGAGAAACAGATTACTGGTAAATTCTTTCCTATGAATGTAATGACACATTTGAAACAAACACCTTCAAAATACTTCCTTCTCACTGTAAGATAAAGTAACAGTCTGGGTCAACCCTACGTTAAATTAACAAGAACCAACCTTTGAAGAAGAATAGCTACCTCCTAATTCAAGCGGGGGGGTGAGGGTGGGGAACCTCACAGCTGTCAGTGACAGCAGAGAACAGGCTACCAGATTTTGTCATCTTTGTAAGAAAGCTTTTGTATCATTAAGATGTAAGACTGTTGCACTTCAAGTACAAACGTGGCTTGGGTAACAACTGCCAAAACGTGCTGCAGTTCATGATTCTATATTGGCTTAAAATACAAGAAAGGAAAATGATCATGAAATCACATCAAAACTTAAGTTTACTTCTGCCAGCACTGCAACAGTTCTTTGAAAGTATGCAGTGTTATCAGTTCTGATGCACAAAACTTATCTTCTCATTCAGCCCAGTAC